AGACCAGGCTGGCCTCGAACTCACAGAGATCCGCCTGCCTCTGCCTCCCGAGTGCTGGGATTAAAGGCGTGTGCCACCACCACCTGGCAAGAGTGAGATTTACAGAAGTAAGAGAACGGGAAAAATCCGGAGGCAAAAGGTAGATGGGATAATTTAAAGTTAAGAAGAGTTGGCTAGCAACAAGCCAAGCCAAGGCTGTGCATTTATAAGTAAGAATAAACCTCTCTGTGTGTGATTTATTTGGGACCTGGGTGGGGGCCCCTCAAAAGAGCAAAAAACAAACAACAACACCCCCTTGTTAGTGAGAAAACAGACTTAGGGATGAAGTAACTTTTCCAAAGGAAGACAATGGGATGTAAAGGCTCATTTAAAGCTAGTGTGTCTCACAGAGGCTTCTAGTACCAGCAACAGACAGATGTTGATTCTGTGTACCCACCACCTAGTGTTAGTCTTCAGGACTTCAAAAAAAAAGTTCATATAAGGGAGCAAGTTGAAAAATAATTATTGTTATTCACGTCTAACTTCATAATTGTCTACAGTCCCAGAACTTGGGGTGTGGGGATGTGGCTCCGTTGGTAGAGTTACCTAGCATGCAGGAAGTCCTGAGTTTGATTCCTAACAACACAACCAGATGAGGTTGTGCAGGCTACCGTTTAGGAGGTGGAGTCAGGAGGATCAGAAGTTCAAGATCATTCTTAGCTTCATCGTGAGCTGGAGGCTAGCCTGGGCTATGTGAGACCCTATCTCATTAGTTTAGTTTCTCCCCTGTGTCCTAGATTTTTATGTGCAAGTGTGTGCCTGTGGAGGCATGACGTTAACCCTCAGTGTCGTCCTTAGGAATGCCATCCTCCAGCTCTTTCCAGACAGATATCTTCCTGTCCACCATGCCCAGCATTTGGTTCTGGGGTCAAACTCATGTTCTCGCGTTTGTGAGGCAAGCACTTGTGACTGAGCCCAATCCTAATGTCCCACTGTGCTACAGGGTCCCCTCCAGAACACAACGGTATGTTTGGCTGCCGGGCTTTCCTGGGTTCCTCTTGGCTGTGATGGTTTCTCTGACTTTGGTCAGGACAATTAAAAAAAAATTATTATTTATTAAGCTGGATGGTGGTGGCATACGCCTTTAATCTCAGCACTTAGGAGGCAGAGGCAGGCAGATCTCTGGGCTCAAGACCAGCCTGGTCTACAGAGTGAGTTGCAGGACAGCCAAAGATACATAGAAAAATCCTGTCTCGAAAAACAAAAACAAACAAAAAATTTATTATTATTATTATTATTATTATTATTATTATTATTATTATTATTTTATTTTTCAAGACAGGCTTTCTCTGTGTAGCCCTGAATGTTCTAGAACACTTTGACAATTTTTTCTCTTCAAGACAGGGTTTCTCTGTGTAGCCTGTCCTGGAATTCTCTCTGTAGACCAGGATGGCCTTGAACTCAGAGATCTACCTGCCTCTGTCTCCTGAGTGCTGAGCTTAAAGGCGTGCACCACTAGCACCCAACTAAAACCTAATTATTAGGATATATTTATTATTTATATTAATGGGCTTCACTGTGACATCTGCATACAGGCACGTCATGCTTTGATCGTATTGGTCTTCCTAGCACTCTCTTAGCCTCTTCCCAGAGGTAAAGCTTGGGGGCTGAGAGCCTGAGCTGGGGCGGCAGGTGCTCATGCCCATGAATAGGGACATGAACAGCAGGGCTGTCTTGGGGCCTGTAGGGCATGACAGAGGGGTTGGCTGCAGACGCCTTCTGAGACCCTCTCAGCCTGACGACTGACTACAGCTCATACTCACGCGTACTTGCTTCTTCCAAGACACCCTGACATTTGGAATCCTGTTCCCGCCTAGGACCACCCACAACGGGTAGGAGACGGGCAGCTGAGCTGAGCTTGATTAAGCGGCTGTCTGCTCACCTTATCCATGCTGGCCTGGTTCAGTCGCATAATGGAGGCATGAGCCAGGCGGTCATACACAGTCCTCAGGGCCTTCTTAGAGTACAGCTCCTGGGGTTTGAACAGCTCCTCCATAAACTTTCTGTTGAACATGGTTGAGATGATGTCATTTAGAACTGTGGAGACAAGAGAGAATCCAGATGAGCAAGGAAGGTACTGTAAGAAGCCCTGTGTAGGAGTCTGTCAGTCTGTGAGTGGGTGGCAGGCACAGACAGCTGAGATACGCAGTGCTTGGTGGGAGCAGCCCCTTGGGGAGACACCCCGGGGTCCAGTAGGAAGCAGGGCTCAGGAGTGCTCTATGACAACCTTCCAGGCAAATGTCCATGACGACAATATTAGAAGACTGGGCTTCAGGTGTCACACATCACTTTCCCCACCATTATATGCTTTGATAAGGAAAATCTTTCTTTTTCTTTTTTTTCAAATTAATTTTTTTATTTAATGTTCAATGGTGGTTTTTTTTTTTTTTCTTGCCTGCATGTATGTCTGTGTGAGGGTGTCAGAAGCCCTGGAACTGGAGTTACAGACAGGTGTGAGCTGCCTCGAGGGTGCTGGGAATTGAACTTGGGTCCTCTAGAAGAGCAGTGCTCTTAACCACTGAGCCATCTCTCCAGCCTCTGAAAAATCTTTCTTTAAAAAAAAAAAAAAAAAAAGTACTGCTTTCTCGGGCTGTGGTGGTGTTGTGGGATGTCTTTCTGTATGCTATGAATATGTGTTGCTCCCATTAGTTAATAAATAAAGCTACCGGGCGGTGGTGGCACACACCTTTAATCCCAGCACTCCGGAGGCAGAGCCAGGCAGATCTCTGTGAGTTCGAGGCCAGCCTGGTATACAGAGTGAGATCCAGGACAGGCACCAAAACTACACAGAGAAACCCTGTCTTGAGAAAACCTAAAATAAAATAAAATAAAACAAAGCTGCACTGGCCTATGACAGGGCAGAATGGAGCCGGGCAGGAAATCCAAGAGAGACAAGGAGAAGAAGGCAGAGTCGGAGGAGACACTGAGCACTGTCAGGGGAGCAAGAGGTAATGGAACAGAGGTAATGCCACAAAGTCACGTGGCAAAACATAGATGGATAGAAACGGGTTAATTTAAGATGAAATGGCTAGCTAGCAAGAAGCCTGAGCCATAGGTCAAACAGTTTGTAATTAATATGCAAGCCTCTGAGTAATTATTTTGTAAGCGGCTGTGGGTCTGTGGGTGGGAGAAGTTTGTTCAGACTGCAGAGCCAGGCGGGACCGAGAAACTTCTGGTTACAGGTGGTGACACACGCATTTAATCCCAGCACTCGGGAGGCAGAGGCAGGTGCAACTCTGAGTTTGAGGTCAGCCTGGTCTACAGAGTTCCAGTGTAGCTAGGACTACACAGAGAAACCCTGTCTCAAACAAACAAACAAACAAACAAACAAACAAACAAATTTAAATAATGAAGAATGCAGGGCTGGAGTGATGGCTCAGCCGTTAAGAGCAGCTGCTGCTCCTGGAAGAGGACTTGTGTTCCGTTCCCAGCACCCACACGGTGGCTCACAACTGTCATTAACTCCAGTTCCATGGGATCCAATGCTCTCTTCTGATCTCTGAGGGCACCAGGCATGCATGCACATGCTTTTCGTGCATACATCTATGCAGGCAAAAAACTCATATACATAAAATAAATAAATCTAAACATTTTCTATTAAAAATAAATAAAAAGACTGTTATATAAAGACTATAAGTTAGAGCACATCCTTAAAAAGAGAGACAGACATTCTTTTTTAATATTTATTTTTAGGTGTATGGATGCTTTGCCTGCCTGTATGACTGCACCATGTATGTGCAGTGCCCACAGAGGAGGGTGTTGGATCCTCTAGGCCTGGAGTTACAGATGGTTGTGAGCCACCATGTGGGTAATGGGAATTGAATCCAGGTCCTTTGGAAGAACAGTCAGTGCTCTTAACCACTGAGCCATCTCTCCAGTCCCCTAGCATACACATTCTTAAAAAAAAAAAAAAAAATTCAGGCAGGGCATGGTGTTGAATGCCTTTAATCCAGCACATGAGAGGCAAAGGTTGGTCTCTGTGAGGTGGAGACCAGCCTGGTCTACAAAGTGACTTTCAGGCCATTCAGGATTACATGATGAGACTCTGTCTTAGAAAAACAAAAAGAGGGGGCTGGAGAGATGTCTCAGAGGTTAAGAGCACTGGCTGCTCTTCCAGAGGTCCCCAGTTCAATTCCCAGCAACCACATGGTGGCTCACAACCATCTGTAATGAGATCTGGCGCCCTCTTCTGGCCTGCAGGCAGAACACTGTATACGTAATAAATAAATAAATAAAATCTATAAACAAGGACATTAAAATGTCACTATAGTTTGTGTGTGGAGGTGTGGTGGTGGGGCCTGTGGAGGACAGGGGACAACTCTGTGGCTTTGCTTCTTCCTTTCCACCTTTCCAAGGGTTGTAGGGACCGAACTCAGGTTGTCAGGCCGCATGGCAAACATTTTGTCTGCTGAACCACCCCACTGGCCCTTTACAGAAAGTGTTTTACTTCATTATCAGCACATGTGTGTATGATGTGTGCTGTTCTCTTTTAAGCAAGCTAAACCATTTTCACTTAAGATTAAACTTCACAAATGTCAGGCAAACAGTGGTGACTGACTTTTCGTAACAAACGTTTTATGAAAATAGACACAGCTGCCCACTGGTTAGAGATGGTGGTGTTTTTAGAGCGTATACAAAACATGCCCTTCAGATTGCTCCACGTTAGCTTGCCCTGACCCCTCTTTCAGCTACGTATCGATTTCACAGCACCGGAATATATCCCATCCGGTTGGGCCAGTGAAAACGTCCACCTGTCGAGAATTAAAGACTTGTGAAAACCAATATAGCCTCAGTTCTAGTCACGTGGATATTTCGCACTGTTCAGGTAAGTGCAGGGAGGGGTAAACCCTGGTGTGAGAACACTAGTGAACACTATTGCAGGGAGGGGTAAGCCCTGGTGTGAGAACACTAGTGAACACTAGTGCAGGGAGGGGTAAGCCCTGGTGTGAGAACACTAGTGAACACTAGTGCAGGGAGGGACAAGCTCTGGTGTGAACACTATTGAACACTAGTGCAGGGAGGGACAAGCTCTGGTGTGAGAACACTAGTGAACACTAGTGCAGGGAGGGGCAAGCTCTGGTGTGAACACTAGTGAACACTAGTGCAGGGAGGGACAAGCTGTGGTGTGAGAACAGCAGCGGGTACAGGTAAGCATAGATTATTCTCAATGTATTTGTATAATGTCGTTGTGTGTTGTGTGTGCAGGTGAGAAGTACATGTGTGTTAAGACGCACATATGGAGGTCACAGGACAACTTCACAGTCAGTTCTCTTCTTGCACAATTACGTGGATTCTGGGGACTGAATCCAGGTTGTCAGGGTTTGCTGGGCGGGTGCCTTTACCTGCTGGGCCATTTGCTGGCCTACATGAGTCTTGAAAAAATTTAAAAGCTGGGTGGTGGTAATGGTAATGGGACTTTAATCCTAGCACTTACACTCAGGAGGCAGAGGCAGAGGCAGGCGGATCTCTGAGTTAGAGACCAGCTTGGTCTACAGATTGAGTTCAAGGATGCCAGGGCTACACAGAGGAATCTTGTCTCCAAAACACTAAAAATAAAAGCCAAAAAAAACCCCAAAATGAAATTGTGTCTGCGTGTGCAGGCGCCCTCAGAGGCAAGAGGACTCAGAGACTGGAGGGGTCTGATTCCCTGGAGCTGGAATCCACCTGACACGGGTCTGGGGACCGAACTTGGATCCTCTGTGACAGCAGTGCATGCTCTAATCACTGGCCCATTCCTCTAGCCCTCCAGATTACTTTTTTTTCTCTTTCTGACAGGGTTTCTCTGTGTAGCTTTGTGCCTGCCTCTGCCTCCCGAGCGCTGGGATTAAAGACGTGCGTCACCACTGCCCGGCCCTCCAGATTATTCTTAAACCAGTTATTTTTAGTGTAAAGATGAACGTATATGGATATCAAGAGTATCTATTCATGCCAGGTGGTGGTGAATATAAAGACGCACGCCTTTAATCCCAGCACTCGGGAGGCAGAGGCAGGCGGATCTCTCAGAGTTCGAGGCCAGCCTGGTCTACAGAGTGAGATCCAGGACAGGCACCAAAACTACACAGAGAAACCCTGTTTTGAAAAACCACACACACACACACACACAAAAAAAAAAAAAAAGAAAGAAAAGAAAAGAAAAGAAAAAACCCAATATATATTCATAGACAACTGGGTTATATATTTATATAAAAAACAAATTCCTTTTTAAACGTTTTGTTTGTTTGTTTGTTTATTTATTTATTTATTTATTTATTTATTTTTGAGGCAGGGTTTCACTGTGTTATTTTGGTACCTGTCCTGGATCTCACACTGTAGACCAGGCTGGCCTTGAACTCACAGAGATCCACCTGGCTGTGCCTCCCAAGTGCTGGGATTAAAGGTGTGTGCCACCACCCGCTGGCCTATTTATTTATTTTTTAAAGCTATATTTTTATTATTTTTAATTATGTGTATGTGTGTACGTTTGTGGGTAAGCATGTACATGTGGTATAGGCATGTTCAAAAGTGCAGGCACCCAACAGAGGCCAGAGGAGTGGGGTCCCGCTGGAGATCAGTTACAGGCAGTTGTGATCTGCCTGATGGAGTTGCTGGAGACGGAACGCTGGTCTTCAGGAAGAGCAGCACATATAGGTGTGCTCTTAACTGCTGGACCATCTTTTCAGGCCGTGTTTTTTATTTTTAATTTTATGTGTTGTGTAGCAGGGATCTTAAAAAGTTCTTATTCATAAAATCAAACCTGAGCCAGGTATTGGGGTGAACACTGGATGATCAGAGAAACAGAACAAGCCACAGCCACCTCACCTTGCCGGATCCCCAGCTGGTCTTGTTTCCCCAGACTGGAGGCCTCTGAGTCCTCATCCGGAATGGCTCTCAGCTGAACTGTGCTAGAAGCCTGAATGCTTAACCAGGCCAAATGCTTCTAGTTTCTGGTCCTCACACCTTATATACCTTTCTGCTTTCTACCACCATTCCCTGGGATTAAAGCCTCGCTTTCTGGGATTAAAGGCGTGTGTCACCATGCCTGGCCTTTCCAATGTGGC